ACACAGCCCGGCCCCCTTTCGGGAAACGGGGGTCCAACAAGCACTTGCTGCAGAGGGGGCCCACAAGCACCCGGCCCGTCCCTTCCGAGGAGACTCGACTTGAGCCCCAAAACTAGGTTGGGTGCAGGGGGTCGATCTTGATTTTATTACTCAGGGTGCTTCAGATCACTACAGGGAAAGGGGTGCCAATGGTTCTGGTTGACAATGGATCGGCCCTGAACGTGTCATTGAGAAGGAAGGACGCTTTCAGAGGCGAAAGGCCAGCTGTGAAGATACTGAGTTAGTCCTGGTTTATTATTACTTACCCAATGGAAGCCTACCAAAGACCTTCAAGTTGGGCTCTCCGCTCCCGCTTCCATCTCGAGATCATTCCGAGAATTTTTATGATTCATTTGTTAGTCCCCAAATAAATTTTTTAAATTTAACAAATTTCAAATTTGCTGATATTGGGTTGGATTTTGGAAGAAAAAAAGTTATGAAATTACTAGCAACACTCCTCCTAAAAGTATTTTTTTACCGTTATAAACTAAAATCGGTATCCAAATTTCTGGCTAAAATAACCTAACTCTTTCAAAAGTTATATTAAGCTTCGGGTGAATGAAAAATTTTAGGTCCCATTTAATATCGATTTTGCTTTCAATTTTCTTTTTTTAAGAAAATTATACATATTTTTTCGCAATTTCTTTGGTATGTCTTCACCTATCTTTCTTACCAAGCTTTGAATTCTTTACCAAATTTTAAAAATAAAAATAAGTTTTTAAAATATATATTTTTTAAAATTTACCTTAGGCTCTGAAAACATTTTTAAAAAATTGATATCAAGGCAAGAAAAAGGACAAAGCAGTGCTCAGGAGCTTAATTCTAATAGAAAACATAAAACAAAGCTTAAAATTTTAAATTTCATAAAAGTAAAAAGGAAATTTTATTTTTATTTTTATATTATTATTATTTTACTCTTAATTATAAAAGAAAAAAAAGAGAGAGAAAATGGAAAATGGAAGTACAGCGACCCTGAAAACCCCAACCCTACCTGTTTTCTTTATTCTTCTCCCTCTCTCTCTCTCTGCATAAATTACGTCTTCTTCTTCTTCTTCTTCTTCTTGTGTTTCTCTCTCCTCCATTTTCTCTGTTTCTCTCTCCTCTGCCACTCTGTTTCTGTGGCGTCGTCCTCCATGAAAGAGAGCTTGTTCACGTAGAGCTTCCCATGGGCAAGTACATCAGGAAATCC